ATATTATATACCACATCACGCAGTTCGAAATGAAAATAGTTCGACTACAAAATTACGCGTAGTATTTGACGCGTCGTGTAGAACCGATAAGGGCGTCAGCCATAATGACGTTTTAATGAAGGGGACTATGATTCAAGATGAGTTGTTGTACCTATATCTTAGTACGTTTCCGGACGTATAATTACGTACTATCAGCCGATATTGAGAAAATGTATCGGCAGATTTTGGTTACTGAAAATCATCGAAGTTACCAACGTGTGTTATGGCGATCAGACACAACGCAGCCGATACGGATCTATCGACTTAATACGCTAGCGTATGGCACGGTACCCGCTTCATATTTGGCAACAGCGTGTTTGGAAAAATTAGCGGAAGCTGAAAACGAAAATTATCCCGATGCGTGTTTATCAATTACAAAAAACTTTTACATGGACAATTATCTCAGTGGTGCTATGTGTAAACCAGAAGCAATAAAACTGCGAGATAATGTAAATGCAATTATGAAGAGCGCGGGTTTTGTATTGCGTAAGTGGATGTCTAACGATAAAGAATTAATTAACGACGTCCAGTACAATAGCGGTGGCGTATGGGCTATGGGCGATAACGGATCAACCAAAATATAGGCTTAAATAATTAGAATTCGGATAATGACGTGTTATTTATACACCGTGCACCAAATAGAAAATAGCATTACAAAAACAACAAAACGAAAAATGTTGTCCGAAATTGCGGCCATATTCGACCCGTTAGGATTGCTTGGCCCGGTTATAGTAAATGCTAAATTGATAATGCAAAACTTGTGGCAGGTAAAGGCTGGTTGGGGTGAGCCTCTGCCGGAAGAAATTCAAAACGAATGGCGTAAATTTCGAGACGGTTTACCACAGTTAAACGAAATATCAATACCACGAAAGATAATAGGTGGAGGTATAAATATAGAATTTCAATTACATGGCTTCGCGGATGCGTCTTTAAAGGCATATGGCGCCTGTTTGTATTTACGCAGTACCGATGTGACTGAAAGTAGTGTTGTTAATTTAATTTGCGCAAAATCGAAAGTAGCTCCGTTGAAAGTTGTATCTCTACCACGGTTGGAGTTGTTTGCCGCACTATTGTTAGCCCGGCTAGCGAGCCGCGTAATTCCAAAATTAAATTTACCTATAACTCGGCGCCAATTCTGGAGCGACTCAAATTTAGTTATTGCATGGATATCGTCTCCATCAACCCAATGGAGAACATTTGTAGCTCATAGAGTGAGGGAGATACAAGAGTTGACGTTATTTAGCGAATGGACACACGTAGGTACGCGAGATAATCCGGCGGACCTTATATCACGCGGATGTGAGGCAAAGGATATAGGGGAAAATACGATGTGGTGGAATAGCCCTAAAGGGCTAAGCGAGGTGAGCACATCATGGCCAAATTCCGAATCGGGAACGTATAATGCTACAGATACGAACATACCCGAGGCAAAAGATAACACCGCGACTTCAAAAACGCGCAGTATAGCTTGTAAAACGAAAAAAGATTATTCAGTGTTAGGTATCAATATTATCAAAACGATCCTCATTAAGTAAAATCATACGTATTACGGCGTATTGTTTACGTTGGAAAAAGAAAAAAAAATGATTTTTGGCCCGTTGCAAATTTTTGAAATAGAACACGCAAATCTCGCATTAATAAAATTAGCACAGAGACTAGAGAGAACATTTCGAAAAAGAGATAAAGGCTTTAAGAGGAGGTACGCAAGTAGCCACGAACAGTTAATTATTTAGATTACGACCCTATATTATGATGATGAAGAAGTTCTACGCGTAGGCAGTAGATTAAAAAATGCACTAGCCTTGGACATGTATCAGCGAAATCCGATAGTTTCTACCTGGTGATGGCGCGTACACTATTTCGCCTTTAATACGTAAAGCTGTTGCACAGTGGACCACAAGCGCTCGTAGCATCGATCCGACAACAGTATTGGCCATTGAACGCGCGTAATATTGCTCATAATACCGTGCATAAATGTGTTACGTGTTTTAAGTTAAAACCGGTTATCGTACAGCCAATTATGGGCGATTTACCGCGTGGTAGAGTGACGCCGAGTCGACCGTTTTTACGATGTGAGATCGACTTCGCTGGACCGATCATGGTAAAAAGCAGCTTAAGAAGAAAAGCCGCATGCACAAAGGGGTACATCGGAATATTTGTTTGTTTCGCAACAAAGGCGGTTCATATCGAGCTGGTTAGTGACTTAACTACAAAAACGTTTTTATAGGCGTTAAACAGATTTTTTGATCGCCGCGGTCGAAGTTCGGTTATATATTCTGATAACGCCACTAATTTTGTTGGGGCGCAAAGGCAACTTAAAGAAATATTTTAATTATTTCAATCCACGGATCACCAAAACGAAATTATGACAGCTCTCGCGGATAAGGGTGTCGAATGGAAGTGCATACCGCCACGTTCACCGCATTTCGGAGGATTGTGGGAGGCGACTGTAAAATCGATGAAGAGTTTACTATACAAGGTGTTAGGYGAGGCGAGGCTTACATATGAAGAAATGAGTACGGTACTGACCCGGGTAGAGGCTTGTTTAAATTCCCGTCGAATAACTCCAATGTCCTCTGATCCAGTCGATCTTACTTTTTTAACGCCCGGTCATTTTTTAATTGGGGACGCCATAACTGCGTTACCAGAGCGTGACGAAACAACCACACCTGATAACCGGTTGGACAGGTGGCGAAGAGTTACCAAATATTCCCAAACGCTGTGGAATCRCTGGAGTACCGAATACCTTAATCAGCTTCAAGTAAGGGTTAAATGGGCAGGTACTAAAGGTCCGTCGATAAAAATCGGAACCGTGGTAATAATTCGAGACAGCAATTTACCCCCCCCCCCTGCAGTGGCGTCTAGGACGGGTGGTCAAGATAGAATCTGGTACTGACGGCGTAGTTCGGGCGGCGTGTGTTCAAACCAACAGCGGTGTATGGAAAAGAGCTGTGCGGTTACTTTGTCCTTTGCCATTTGAAGGGAACACGACTTAGCCAATACCACACTACGGAGACAGTAGTAATTGATTTTTAAATTTGTACTGTTTTCTTATTATTAAATTTTTTTTTTTTTTGTCAAATAGGCAGTTATAGCTTTGAATTATTTATATACGATTTATAGGTATTGTTAAAATTGTTAATTATTGTAAGTATCTTATGTTCGATATTAATTTGATTTATGTATTATTTGTTATTACATTGTAAATTTAGATTGAAAATTAATGTTTCAAGGTGGGCGGCTGTGTTCGGTACGTGTTGTTTTTATCACAGGTAAAACTAATAATTATTGTTCGTGGTGGAGACCGGTCGGGTTATCTATATTTTTATATAATAAAGGCGACAATCGCCGCGCGCCGACGGTCTTTAACTAGTCATTAGTCAGTCGCGAATAAAGACCGTACCGAAACGCACCGCACTCCGAAAGCAAATTATGCAAAAATAAACGAGAAATTATTTAAATYAAAATACACCATTGTATTCACCTTAACAATGTCAGTATACCATGACAAATTAGATAGCTATCATCACAGTATTACTAGTTTTGCTCAGTATGCGCATCTCCACCTCCGGCCAATGTCGTAGTTCTCCACTTCTCATTGGTTGATTTTATTCTATGTTATATATGTATGTATATGATTGACGGTCGATAAGAAGTGGAGAACTACGATAAAGGTGAAGCATAGAGTAATATTACTCTATGAGGTGAAGTAAAGAGCGATGAATGCGTATCAAAAAACTGTGATGATACCTATCTAATTTGTCATGGGCTATACCTATATGGGTATATTATTGTTATCGACGAATGACGACCGAGTCGTCATTTCGAGAAAAAATTCAACAAGTCTAAAAATAAACAAAAACCAATTCATTATTTTTATCTATTACTTATTAATTATTATATATAATAATTTATGTAACTACTGTTCTTTTTTTTAGAAATGAAAAGTTCAATGAAATAAAATA